GGAGGTACGGGGGGGGGGGAGAGGGACCTCAAGGGGTTTGATTTCGATGGATAGGAGGGCGGAAAGAAGCCTCAAGAAGGTGCGTGAGGCAGAGCTTGCGAGGGACGATTGATCGATGAGGACAGGGGGGGCTGGTGCCGAGGGACGCAAGAGTCGGTGGCGCGGGACGTAAGCGTCTCAGAACGAGCACGGAAAGAGGGAGGGGAAGAACAGGACATCGTGAAAGCCTGCCCTTCAGCATGTGAATAACATACAACCTGCGATCAAAGAAAGCAAAAATGATCCACAACCCGCTGACTTCAACTCCTTCTTTTTCACTTTCTTCCCTCCTATTCCCTCCTTGCCCCTCCTCGCCCTCGTCCCCCGCCTTCCCCCCGACCCCTCCGCTCTGCCCTCGAAACGGGGCAGAATCGAGGCCGGTACGAGAAACACCCACGCTGCGGGGAAAAACCGGTCGGAGGAGGACGAAGAGGAAATGAAGGCGCGACCGAGGACAGGGTCCTCCCTTCCACCCCCCCACCTCGCCCTCCTTCCCACTCTACCCCGCAGCCCGTTTCCTCCTCCTTTTCCCCGCCCTACGCGGATCCATCCAATATAGAAGTTAAGGTGGTCTGGTACTCCGCCCAGGCCGGGTCCTGCCCGGGCTCCGCAAGCTGGATGTTGTTCTTCCGTGCGGCAAGCTCGGCCCGCCCCTCCGCCCGGCGTTTCAAGATGGCTTCCCGGGATTTATCCAGGTACAGCTTGGTGATCCTGACGCTGGAAGCGCGGATGGGCACGGGGATGGTCGTGCTTGTCTTACCCGCTTCTTTCCCCCCCGCCTTCTCGCGCGTGATCCCTTCCACGTGGATGTAGTACTTCTTCCGGTCCACGCCAATCACCTTGCCTACTTTCTTTCGGTGGTCGCCCGCCGTCACCACCACTTCATCCCCCGTGCGGACGGGAATGGATCGCACCCCACCGTGCTCTGCCCGGAGTTCTTTGCTCAGAGGAGAGCTCATGATGGTGCGACGTTTGTGTAAGGGGGCCTTCACGTGCTTCAGAAAGGAGGTGCGCCGGCGTGCGGCTTGGGAGGAGCGATGATTCCCCATCTGCCACAAAAAAGTGCAAAAAAAGATTGTGAGATTTATCGTCTTGTGTCAAGTCTTGTGCGTCGCTCTTCCCACCCGACAGACATTTCAATACGGGCACGGTAAGCCGCGCTAAACCAATTTGCCGCGACCTTGACATAACGCATGTGTGCACCTTGAATCGCCCAAATCCCTTTCTACCATCTGTAAAGACATATCTGTATTTGCTGTACATATCTATGTTTGCCGTACTCTGATGCAGAGTCGTTGTTGTACTTTGATTCACTTACCACAATCGTCTGACGTCTGCTAGTGCTCGAGCCCGAGGCGCAGCTGGGTAGAGGCGCGGAGGGGACGAAGGCAGTACAAAGACCCGCACATATGGCCGCCACGGTAACGAGGACAAGGGATCGTCGTCCCATTTTTAAACGCACTTCATTCAGTGGGGGGGAAAGATTTATAGATGAGACAAGACGTTGAGAGAGGAGTGGCATGCCATTAGCGCACATGCGTAGCTGAACTTGATACACAAGAACGGTCGCAGACACAGGCATAGACCCCAGGCTAACGCCGCCCTCCGCATCGACACTTGACACATCTAGACGTGCAATGCCTCCAAATTATGATATTATCCTCTGGTTGTCGGATTTATATGAGACAAGAAGGCCATGTCTGACTTGAAAGGGGGGCAAGGCGACCAGGGCCGGCTTGGCTAGCTCGGAGGTGGGATGAATGGCCACCTCCAAATTCGTCGTCAACGGTACTCGAGAAGAGTGGCTCCCCTCTGATCTCAACAGCAAAAAGCATGCACATCCTCATATGACTATCCAGGCATGCGATCGGGCCCAGGCAGGTGATTCGGACCGAAGGAGATCCCAAAAGCCTGGAGCCACTCGACACGTCTAGAGGCAACATCTCGCCCTCGCCCGAGTATCTTTAACGCCCTTTGATTGCCATGCTTCACGCCTTTGACAAAAACTAGTGCCCGCAAGAGAAGCAAAGGGACAGGCCGCAGGGAGGAGAGGCGTGACGCAAGGATGCTGTCGTGTAGGTTGAACTCGCTTTGTCATGGTGTATTTTGCAGCGGGAATGTACCGAGAGGAAGGGAAGATGAGGGTGGGGGGGGGAATACGTAACTGCGAAGCGACATAGTCTGACACACTTTGCCCCGCCCACACGCGCATGTGCATGCACAAAGGCTTGCATTTTCTTCCCATTGTCTAATGATCGAGAGAATTTGATTACTTTTTATGGCTATGCTATTTGTCCGCAGTATTTACACAAATTTGTTCAAGGACTTCCGATCCCCGCGCGTTTCCACATCCCCAACAACGCCTGGCAACGGGCCAGGTGAAACAAACTATCTCTTTCTTCCTCCCTATCCTCACTCCTTGCTCCCTTTTCAGCAAGATCCAATGATGCCTTCAGACGACGCTCGACTTCCTCTTTGAGAGTGTCCCATATCCCGTCAACTGGATAATGAAGGCGGGCGTAGATGCACAACAACTGGGCAAGTGCCAGGTCCGTGAGTGACGGCAGCCATCCTGGCATCAAATTGCACAGGTGCTCCAGGAGCTTCTTCGTAGACGACGAGACACAAGCAGAGGGTCCATACAGTCTAGCAATGGCGGAAAGCGTCAGGATCATGTCCTGTGAGGAAAAGGTGGCGAGCTTGGGCCCCAGGTCCCAAATAAGAGCCTCCACCACCTCCTCCCTCAGACTTCTTTCCCGGGAGGAACCGTCAACGGGAGGGCTGCAGACATTTGCGGGCAAGAGTTTTCCCATGGCCCATAGCAACTTAACCTCCTCGCTAGGACGCATGGCATGGAGCTCCTCCTGCCTCTCTCTCGTCCAACCACCCTCCCCCGCTCCCTCCTTGCCTTCCTGTGTGGATGCTCTGTCTGCCGTGCCAAACCCGGGAAACAGAGCCAGAGAATCATACCCGGCAACGGCAAGCGCCCACAAGGACAGCGCCAAGTCCTGAAGAGGGAGGCAGGCATGATGTGCTTCCAAAATCATCACAACCCTGTCGAAGAAGGTGGAACGGGCTTCCCCCATGGTTGCCAACGCCCAAGTCATCGTCGCGAGCTCAGGAAGGGAGAGCACCCCCAGGCCCATTTCTAGAATGAAGGAGTTTATGACGGGGAGGAGGTCGCCGTCGGGGTGGGAGAGGGTAGCTAGAGACCAGGCAAGCTGG